TCCCTTTTCCCTTCAGCCCGGCCCTTCCCACATCCCAAACCTCCTCCCCACCTGTGCCAGGAGGCTTTCCAGCCTCTGCTTGGGAAATGGGGGAACCTGCAGCTCCCAGAGCCGGGAATTGTCCCCGGGGGGAGCGTGACCCCCCCGGGCAGCAGCACCGGGCACAGCCGCCCGTGGGGGGAGGGAGCGCTGGAATCCGCCCAGGCCGCCGGATTTGGGGTTTTTAGCAGGAAATCAGGCAGGCTGGGAGAAGAGGGAGCCCTGAGGGTCCCCCCAGAGCAGTTCTGGGGGGGTCCCCAGGCTGAGCTGCAGGAGGGGCGGCCGGCCCCGCCCTGCCCGGAGCACGGGAAGCAAAAATGTCCCAGAAAAAAACCCCAAATTTGGTGCCAGCTTCCCTCTGAGTGCCTCTGCTGCCAGGGCAGGGATTTAAAACTCATTTATTGACCCCTCAGGGGTCTCCTCTGACCCCCAGAGCCAAAAGCCATCAGGGACAGCCCCTGCCCCATTGGGGACCCCCCTGTCCCCCCCCCGTGGTTGGGTGTCCTGTGCCCAGGGTGGTCCCCACATCCCTGGGGTTTCCAGCCCCATGGCCTGGCCAGAGCTGCAGGAATTCCCCTTGAAGTTAAACATTTCTCTGGAAAAATATAAAATTTTTAAAAGACAGACTGGTGATCGCTCTCTGAACAGCACTAGGGCAGAAATTGCAGTGGTTGTTGTTTTCTCTTTTGGGGCAATCTGGGCAATTTGAATTTAAAATGGAAAAATAAAAAATAAATTTAAATGTAATTTTTAAAGGGTTTGGAGGGGGGGGAAGTTTGGTTGTGGGGTTTTTTTTGTTTGAGTTTTTGTAGGGTTTTTTGTTGGTTTTGGTTTTGTTTTACGGATTTTTGGTGGGTTTTTCTGTTTGTTTTTTGTGGGTTTTGTTTTGTTTTGTGCTTTCTTGTGGTTTGGTTTTTTTGGTGGTTTTTGTTTGTTTTTTTGTTGGTGGTGGTGGTTTGGGGATTTTTTGTGGTTTTCTTTTGTTTTGTTTTTCTTTTTGGCGTTTTTAAAGTGGTTTTTTTTTTTCTGTTGTTTTGTTTAATTTTTTTTAAATTGCCCAGGAAGAAGAATCCTCCCTGCTCATTGCAGGGCAGCAGGGGCTGATCCTGTGCTGCTCTCCCGGGCAGAGCCTCCTCTTCCTCCTCTCCCAGCTCACCCCACAAGGATTCCCAGTCCATCCCACAAGGATTCCCAGCTCACCCCACAAGGATTCCCAGTCCATCCCACACAGATTCCCAGTTCACCCCACAAGGATTCCCCGTTCATCCCACAAGGATTCCCAGTCCATCCCCCATGGATTCCCAGTCCATCCCCCATGGATTCCAGCCCCCCCTCCTCGTTCCCCGTCCTTCCCCGGGCTCTGCTCTCCCCGCCGTTGGTGCCTCTCTCCCCGCACCGCTCCGGGGTTCCGTTATCCCGGGATGGCCGGGAAGGGTTCGGGATCCGCCCCTGGCCCTGCCTGGCCAATGATCCCCTGGCGGGAGCCGGGGTTATCCCGGGAAAACCTGCCCTTTATCCCGGGAAAACCTGCCATTTATCCCGGGAAAACCTGCCCTTTATCCCGGGAAAACCTGCCACTCATCCCGGGAAAACCTGCCACTCATCCAGGGAAAACCTACCATTTATCTCAGGAAAAGCTGCCACTTTTCCAGAGAAAACCTGCCCTTACTCACCCAGGAAAAACCTGCCCTTTATCCCGGAAAAACCTGCCCCTCATCCAGGGAAAGCCTGCCCCTCATCCAGGGAAAGCCTGCCCCTCAGCCAGGGAAAACCTGCCCTTTATCCCGGGAAAGCCTGCCCCTCATCCAGGGAAAGCCTGCCCCTCATCCAGGGAAAGCCTGCCCCTCAGCCAGGGAAAACCTGCCCTTTATCCCGGGAAAGCCTGCCCCTCATCCAGGGAAAGCCTGCCCCTCAGCCAGGGAAAACCTGCCCTTTATCCCGGGAAAGCCTGCCCCTCATCCAGGGAGAGCCTGCCCCTCATCCAGGGAACTCGCGCCCCTTCCCAGCCGGGCCTGGCTCACCCCCCTCCCGCTCCCGGCTCCGGGATGTGCCCGGGAATGCCGAGCCCCAGGGGATGGGGCTGGAGCTCTGCCGGGCACTCCAGAGCTGTCGCTGCTCATTTGGGGGTCACGCCGAGCCCCCCGAGCCCCCCAGGCCCCTTTTCCCCACCCGGGGGGCAGGAGCTCCCCCTGTCCCCACCTTCCCGGGTGTTTATCAGCTTGGAAAAGCCAAGGTTTAAATGGCATTAGGGCCTGACTTGGAGCCACAAAAGCCATGAAATTCAGAGCTAAGGCTCAAAAATCCACTTGACACTCGGCCCTGAGGCGTGACAGGCGCTGGGGGCCGGGGGGGCTTGTCCCAAACTGGGTGACAGGAGGTGACAGGGCTGGAGGGGACAGCGCCGTGGCCCCACCTGGGTGATGGTTTGGGGACAATCCCAGGGCAGGGCTCTGTGCTCCCTGCTGGGGTCTGGGGTGGATTTGGGGTTCTCTCTCCTCCCTGACAGGGTTTGGGGTGGGTTTGGGACACTCTCCTTCCCAACGGGGTTTGGGGTGGATTTGGGGTTCTCCCTTCCAGGGTTTGGGACACTTTCTCCTCCCCAACGGGGTTTGGAGTGGATTTGGGGTTCTCTCTCCACCCTGCTGTGGTTGGGGTTTTCTCCTGCCTGCTGAGGATTTGGGGTGTTCTTCTTCCTCGCAGGGTTTGGGATTCTTCCCTCCCTGACAGGGGTTTGGGGCTCTCTCCTCCCTCTCAGGGTTTGGGGGTTCTCCCTTCTGGGGTTTGGGGTGGGTTTGGGACACTCTCTCCACTCTGCTGTGGTTTGGGGTTCTCTCTTCCTGCCTGCTGAGGATTTGGGGTGTTCTTCTCCCTGCCGGGGTTTGGGATTCTCTCTTCTGTGCTGGGGTTTGGGGTGAGTTTGGGGCTCTCCCCTCCCTGCCAGGGTTTGGGGTGGGTTTGGGGTTCTCCCTTCCCTGCCAGGATTTGGGGTGGGTTTGGGATTCTCCCCTCCCTGCCAGGGTTTGGGGTGGGTTTGGGATTCTCCCTTCCCTGCCAGGGTTTGGGGTGGGTTTGGGATTCTCCCCTCCCTGCCAGGGTTTGGGGTGGGTTTGGGATTCTCCCCTCCCTGCCAGCGTTTGGGGTGGGTTTGGGGCAGGGCTGGGCTCCCTCGTGCCCTCCCAGCAGGCTGTACCCAGATCTGGAGTAACAGCGATGAGGATGAGGGGGATGATTAGAGTGAAAGGGGGCAGGGTGGGATGGGATCTTGGGCAGGAATTGTTCCCTGGCAGGGTGGGCAGGCCCTGGCACAGGAGCCCAGAGCAGCTGGGGCTGCCCCTGCATCCCTGGCAGTGCCCAGGGCCAGGCTGGGCAGGGCTGGAGCACCTGGGACAGGGGAAGGTGTCCCTGCCATGGCACGGGTGGCACTGGGTGGGATCTGAGGTCCCTTCCCACCCAAACCATCCCGGGATTCTGAACGAGGCCCCTCCTGTTCCTGCCTCTCTCCCCAGGCAGGGGAACCCCATTTCAGCAGAAAATGTGAAGCTGGGGTGGTTTTACTGAAAGATGCCCAGTGCTGACCCACCCTCGCTCTTTATCTGACAGCAACCCGGAGAAATCACTCACAAATCAACGCAGAGAGGCTTGAAAATTAATTTATTGCACGTTTTTCCAGCTGAGCCAGGATGCAGAGGAGCTGCAGCCACTCCTGCCTGCCCTGCACAGGGCAGTGCCACCACTGCCCCCCACACCCCGGGCTCACCTGCCAGGGCTGCAGCCCTGCAAACGCTGTTAATTGAGCAGTAATTAATCCTAGGGGTTAAAACAAACCCATCAGTGATTAGAGCTGAGCTGGAGGAGCAGGGCCGTGTGCTCCAGATCCCTTCTCCTGTTCACACTGCAGCTCCCACCCCGAGCCCTGCCTGGGGGAGAGCCCAGGTCAGGCCTGGTTTAACTCCTCATTTAAGGCCTGGTTTAATTTTAACTCCTGGTTTCTCTATTAGTCTATCTCCTGGTTTAATTTTAAGTCCTGGCTTAACACCTGGTTTATCTCCTGGTTTAAGGCCTGTTTTATTTCCTGGTTTAAGGCCTGATTTATTTCCTGGTTTAATGCTTGATTTAACTCTTGGTTTAAGGCCTGGTTTAGTTTTAACTCCTGGTTTAAGGCCTGGTCTTGGCAGCTGGCAGAGCTCTGGGGCTGGGCTTGGGTGGGACAGCGGCTCCCAGGGTGGGAGGGCTGCAGCCCCTGCAGCTCCTGCAGCTCCCACAGCCCCTGCAGCTCCCACAGCCCCTGCAGCTCCCACAGCCCCTGCAGCTCCCACAGCCCCTGAAGCTCCCACAGCCCCTACCCCTCACAGGGGGGACAAGGAGGGTCCCCCCAGCAGCTGGAGCAGGACATTCCCTGATGCCCCAGGTCCCAGCAGCTCTCCCAGCCCTGCCAGGGCACACAGGGGTGGCAGCAGCAGGGCCAGCCTGGCCTGGGCCCCAGAGGCAAAGCCAGGGCACAAAGGGGGGGCTGCTGCTGCCCCGGCCCAGCCCCAGCCAGCTGGGACAGCCAGGGGGGCTGGGATGGGGCTGGGAATGGGATAAGGCACTGGGGCTCATCCCAGGCAGCACCAGGGCTGTCCCCTCCAGAGCTGTCCCCTCCAGAGCTGCCCCCTCCAGAGCTGCCCCCCCTCTCCTGGCTCCAGGCTCCTGCCCAGCCCGCTGAGGGGCTCAGGCTGGGGACAAAGCCCAGCCCAGGGGACAGAACCAGCCTGGCTGCCCTGCACACCCGGGATTTGGGCTGCTGGGGACAGGGAGGGACGTGGCTTGGTACAGGGGACAGGGACAGATCCCAGCCCCGGGGAGAGGGAACCTCTGGGGGTGGGAGAGCCGGGAGGAAAAGGGAGCCGGGTCCAGCTGTGCCTCTGCAGCCAGCCCTTCATTAATGACTGACCTAATTAAGCATGCGCACACAGAATCACTCAGGTTGGAAAAGACCTTTAAAGCCATCAAGTCCAACCACTGCCACACTCACCATCGTGTCCCCAAGTGCCACACGACTGAGGACACCACGAGGAGCTCCAGCTTTACCATTTAACAACGCTTTTTTTTTTTTCTTTTTTTTTAAATGACTCCCGGGAGGGGGTGAGGGGTCAGTAGTGTAAGTGCTGTGGGTGGCAGTGTCCCCGGGCTGGCTGTCCCCAGGGTCACTGCATGTAGGCGTAGCGCCAGTCCCCCAGGGGCACGTGGGTCTCCTTGATGGCCTGCGGGGACGTCCAGCGCAGCAGGTAGTGGGGACCACCAGGCTTGTCATTGGTGCCTGTGGGGACAGCAGGCAGGGCTGCTGACACCACGAGGGTGGCAGGGACACAGAGGGACAGGAGGACATGGAGAGACACGGGGCACAGGAGGGACATGGAAGGATGGGGACATGGAGAGACACGGGGCACAGGAGGGACATGGAGGGGCACAGGAGGGACAAGGAGGGATGGGGACATGGAGGAACATGAGAGACATGGAGAATGGGGACACGGAGGGACATGGGGCACAGGAGGGACACAGAGGGACATGGCAGGACACATAGGGTACAGGAGGGACATGGAGGGATGGGAGGGACACTGAGGGACACGGGACATGGTAGGATGGGAGGGACACAGAACAAGGGGCACAGAGCACAGGAGGGATACAGAGAAATGGGAGGGACATGGAGAGATGGGAAGGACACAGAGGGACACAGAAGGATGGGAGGGACACTGACACAGAGGATGGGGACATGGAGGGGCACGGAGGATGGGCACAGGAGGGACACAGAAGGATGAGAGGGACACAGGGAACAAGGGGGACAGGAGGGACACAGAGAGACAAGAGGGACATGGAAGATGAGAGGGACACAGGACACAGGGAATGGGAGGGACATGGAGGGACATGGAGGGACATGGAGGGACAAGGAGCACAGGAGGGACACAGGGGACAGGAGGGACACGGGACAGGAGGGATGGGAAGGAGAGGAGGACATGCAGGGATGGGGACAAGGAGGGACAGGAGGGACACACGGGGATGGGGACATGGAGGGACAGGAGGACGCACAGGGACAGAAGGGATACAGAGGGATATGGAGGACGGGAAGGACATGGAGGGATGGGAGGGACACAGGACAGGGACATGGAGCACAAGAGGGACAGGAGGGACATGGAGGATGGCAGGGACAGGAGAGACACAGAGGACAGAAGGGACATGGAGAGACACAGAAGGATGGGGACAAGGAAGGACATGGAGGGACACAGAGCACAGGAGGGACACGGAAGGACAAGGAGGATTGGAGGGACAGGAGGGACACAGAAGGATGGGGACAAGGAATGACATGGAAGGACAGAAGGACAAGGGACACGGGGCACAGGAGGGACACAGAGGGGAGCTGGGCAGGGCCTGGCCAGCAGCCCTGGTGTCACCTGAGATGCGGGAGCCCCCAAAGGGCTGCTGGGCCACCACGGCCCCCGTGGATTTGTCGTTGATGTAGAAGTTGCCGGCGGCGTGGCGCAGCAGCCTCAGGGACTCCTCGATGACAGCCCTGGGCAGGGACAGCACAGGGACAGCCTGAGCACTGCCCAGGGGCTGCAGAGCACCACACTGGGCTAAGAGGGGCTCGGGTCCCCTCCAGGGGAGCCTGGGTCTCCTCCAGAGGGGTCTGTGAGCCCTCCAGAAGGGTTTGGGTCCCCTCATGCCCAGTTCCAGGCCTCAGGGGTTTCACACACACACAGCCACTGCATTTTTGCTGCTTTGGGTTTTTTTCCAGCTCCTTTCTCTGTTTGCATTTCATGGTGATAAAATGAAGGTCGTTATCACTCATTATCCATGGAAATGTGGCTGCCCCATCCCTGGCAGGGTCCTGGGAGCAGCCTGGGACAGTGGGAGGTGTCCCTGCCCTGCCAGGGGTGGCCCTGGATCAGCTCTAAGGTCCCTCCAGGCCAAACCAGCCCAGAATTCTGTGACAATTTTGGGTCATTCTCTCTGAGGTCACACCACTCTTTGCCCTCCTGCTGCTGAGTGGGCTGGGGGATCACCCCCCACGTGCTCCATACCTTCCTTTGGGATAATTCCTCACTGAAAAAAACACTTTTTTGGGCTAAGAAACCCCAAAAAATGAACAAAGCTAAACTTCCAAACCATCCCTTTCCTCCCTCAGAGGAGGGGCAGCAAAAGCAGCACCAGCGCGGTGGGGAACGCTCTTGGAAGGGAGGAAGAAGGAAGATCCGTGGCTCAGCCCCGATGGGAAAAGCACCCCCAGCTGCTTTTTGGGGGAATTTTAGGGAGTTTTGGGACTCACTTATCCTGGGCGAAGATCGCCCCCGTGAGGCCGTAGGGGGTGCTGGTGTCGATGAGCTCCAGCACGTCCCGGTAGCGACCCTCGGGGTACACGAACACCGTCAGGATGGGCCCGAAGATCTCCTGGGCAGGCAGGGAACACCAGAGACCGTCAGGACTGACCCCAAAAAACCCAGACAAACCATCAGGATGGGCCCCAAAACCCACACACCCTGTCAGGATGGGCCCCAAAACCTCCTGGGGATGCAGAAAGCACCAAAACCAGTCAGGACTGGCCCAAAAAACCCATACAGACCATCAGGATGAGCCTGAAATCTCCTGGGAATGCAGAAAGTACCAAAAACCAGCAGGATCCACCCCAAAAAACCCATAAAAACCACCAGGATTTGCCCCAGAAAACCCACACACTGTCAGGATGGGCCCAAAAATCTCCTGGGAATGCAGAAAGTACCAAAAACCAGCAGGATCCACCCCAAAAAACCAATAAAAACCATCAGGACTGGCCCCAAAACCCACACACACTGTCAGGATGGGCCCAAAAATCTCCTGGGAATGCAGGAAACACCAAAAACCATGAGGACTGGCCCCAAAAAAAACCCATACAGACCATCAGGATGAGCCTGAAATCTCCTGGGAATGCAGGAAACACCAAAAACCATGAGGACTGGCCCCAAAAATCCACACACTCCATAAGGATCAGCCCAAAAATTTCCTGTGAGTTCAGAAAATCCCACAAACTGTCAGGATTGGCCCCAAAAACCACCACACACCATCAGGATTGGCTCTAAAAACCTCTTGGAGCCCAAAGAATGACACAAACTGTGAGGATCAACCCACACACTGTCAGGATGGGCCCAAAAATCTCCTGGGAATGCAGGAAACACCACAAACTGTCACAACTGACCCCAAAAAAACCCATACACTCCACCAGGATGGGCCCCAAAACCCACACACACTGTCAGGATGGGTCCCAAAATCTCCTGGGAATGCAGAAAGTATCAAAAACCGTCAGAATCCACCCCAAAAAACCCATAAAAAAAATCAGGACTGGCCCCAAAAACCTCCACACACTGTCAGGATTGGCCCCAAAATCTCCTGGAGCCCAGAAAGTACCACAAACCATCAGGATCAGCCCCAAAAATCCACACACTCCATAAGGATCAACACAGAAATTTCCTGGGAGTTCAGAAAATCCCACAAACTGTCAGGATTGGCCCCAAAAACCATCACACCCCATCAGGATTGGCTCTAAAAACCTCCTGGAGCCCAAAGGATGACACAAACTGTCAGGATTGACCAAAAAAACCCCATACAAACCATCAGGATTGGCCTGAAAATCTCGTGGAAGCCCAAAGAACAACACAAACCATGAGGATTAGCCCCAAAAACCCAAACACACTGTCAGGATTGGCCTGAAAACCTCTGGGGAATGCAGGAAACACTACAAACCATCAGGATCAGCCCCAAAAAACCATACAGACCATCAGGATTGGCCCCAAAATCTCCTGGGGATGAAGAAAATACCAAAAACCATCAGGATCAGCCCCAAAAAACCCAAACAAACCATCAGGATGGGCCCAAAAAATTCCTGGGAATGCAGGAAGTACCACAGACCATCAGGATCAGCCCCAAAAACCATAAAAACCATCAGGATTAGCCCCAAAACCTACACGCCCTGTCAGCATCGGGCCAAAAATCTCCTGGAGCCTAGAAATACCAAAAACCATCAGGATTAGCCCCAAAAAACCCACACAAACCATCAGGATCAACCCCAAAATGCCACATACCCCGTCAGGATTGGCCCCAAAAAATCATCAGGATCGGCCCCAAAATCTGGAGCCCAAAGAATGACACAAACTGTCAGGATTGACCCAAAAAACCCCATACAAACCATCAGGATTTGCCCCAAAATCTCTTGGGAATGCAGAAAATACCACAAAGCATCAGGATCTGCCCCCAAAACCCATAAAAACCATCAGGATCATCCCAAGAAAACCCCACAGACCCCATCAGGATCAGACCCAAAACCTACACACCCTGGCAGAATCGGGCCAAAAATCTCCTGGAGACTAGAAAGTACCAAAAACCATCGGGATCAGCCCCAAAAAACCCATACAAACCATCAGGATTGGCCCCAAAATCTCCTGGGAATGCAGAAAATACCACAAAGCATCAGGATCAGCCCAAAAAAACCCACATCCCCCATCAGGATCAGCCCCAAAATCACCTGTGAGCCCAAAGAACACAAACAAGGAGGATCAGCCCCAAAAACCATCACACACAGTCAGGATCACCCCAAAGAACAGCACACCCCATGAGGGTCGGCCCCAAAATTTCCCTTACAGCCCAAAAATCTCCTGTGCAGCCCAAAGAACAACACATCCCACGAGGATCAGCCCCAAAACCAACACACCCCATCAGGATTGCCCCAAAAACTGCCTGTGAACCCAAAGAATGCCACAAACCATGAGGATCAGCCCCAAAAAATAACAAAACCTGTGAGGACTGGCCCCAAAATCCCCTGGGAGCCCAAAAAACAATGAGGAGCAGGCCCAACATCTCCTGTGCAGTGCAAATAAACATCCCATGGGGCAAATCCCATGAGGATCGACCCCAAAAACCAACACACCCTGTCAGGATTGGCCCCAAAACCTTCTGTGAGCCCAAAAAGCAACACACAGAGTGAGGATGGTCCCAAAAAATTCCAGTGAGCCCAAAGAACCCCACACACCGGGAGGATCGGCCCCAAAAATATAAAAACCTGTCATGACCAGCCCAAAAATGTCCTGTGAGCCCAATGAACCCCACAAACCAGGAGGATGAGCCCCAAAAACATCAAAATCCATCACAATCAGCCCAGAAATCTCCTGTGAGCCCCAAAACCAGCACAGACCATGAGGATCAGCCCAAAAATCTTCTGAGAGCCCAAAAAACTACACACCCCGTGAGGATCAACCCCAAACTCTCCCAGAGCAGCCCCAAAATCTCAGCCCAAAGCCGGGATCAGCCCAGGAACCAGCGGGTGCAGCCCCACCCCAAAGAACCCGATCCCAGGGCAGGAACCCATTCCTGTGGGAACCCCCCCAGAGCTGGGATTTGGGGTGGGAACCACAGCTCCCTCATGATGGGGTTCCCAAAAGGATTTGGGATGGGATCCCACAGGGATTTGGGGTGGGATCCCACAGAGATTTGGGATGGGATCCCCCATCTCCCTCATGATGGGGTCCCAGGGGTCCCACAGAGATTTGGGGTGGGATCCCCCACCTCACTCATTATGGGGTCCCCACAGGGATTTGAGGTGGGGTCCCACAGGGATTTGGGATGGGGTCCCAGGAATCCCTGCAGGGATCTGGGGTGGGGTCCCAGGTTGCCCCACAGGGATTTGGGATGGGGTCCCACAAGGATTCAGGATGGGGTCGCAGGGTGTCCCACAGGGATTTGAGATGAGGTCCCACAGGAATTTGGGGTGGGGTCCCAGGGGTCCCTGCAGGGGTCTGGGGTCCCACCCACCTCTCTCATGATGGGTCCCGGGGGTCCCTGTAGGGATTTGGGGTGGGGTGGTGGGGTCCCAGGGGTCCCTGCAGGGGTCTGGGGTCCCACCCACCTCTCTCATGATGGGTCCCGGGGATCCCTGCAGGGATTTGGGGTGGGGTCCCGGGGGTCCCTGCAGGGGTTTGGGGTGCCCACCCACCTCTCTCATCATGGGGTTGCAGGGGGTCCCACAGGGGTTTGGGGGGGGTCCCACCTCTCTCATGATGGGGTCCCACAGGGTTTGGGGTGGGGTCCCACAGGGGTTTGGGGGGGGTCCCACCTCTCTCATGATGGGGTCCCGGGGGTCCCACAGGGTTTGGGGTGGGGTCCCACAGGGTTTAGGGGGGCTCCCACCTCTCTCATGATGGGGTCCCGGGGGTCCCACAGGGGTTTGGGGTGGGGTCCCACAGGGTTTAGGGGGGCTCCCACCTCTCTCATGATGGGGTCCCGGGGGTCCCTGCAGGGTTTGGGGCAGGGTCCCACAGGGTTTAGGGGGGCTCCCACCTCTCTCATGATGGGGTCCCGGGGGTCCCTGCTCTCCACGATGCAGGGCTCCACGAAGTAGCCCACGCTGTCGTCGCAGCCGCCGCCCGCCAGCACCGTCAGGTTCGGGGAGCTGCGGGCGTGCTGCAGCCAGCCCCTGATCCTGGCAAAGGACTGGGGACACGGGGACAGGAAATGAAGCTGGGGTTCAAAAGGGGGCTTGGGGTCTGGAAGGGGGTTTGGGTTAGGAGTGACAGGAAATGAGAGGGGCTGGTGGTCTGGGAAGGGGCGTTTAGGGTTTTAAAAGGAGGGGTTTGGGTCAGGGATGACAAGAAAAGAGGGGGTTTGGGGGTCTGCAAGGAGGTTTGGGGGTTTAAAAGGGCATTTGGAGGTGTGGAAGGGGGTTTGGGGGTCTGGAAGGGGGTTTTGGGGTGGGAGTGACAGGAAAATAGTGGGTTTGAGGGTCTGAAAGGGGGTCTGGGATGACAGGGAATGAGGGGGTTTGGGGGTCTGGAAGGAAGTTTGGGGGTTTAAAAGGACACTTGGGGGTGTGGAAGGGGGTTTGGGGGTCTGGAAGGAGGTTTGGAGGTTTAAAAGGAGGTTTAAGGGTCTGAAAGGAGGTTTGGGTGTTTAAGGAAGGGTTTGTCTCAGGACATGCTGCTCTCGGTGCCCTCCTGGCTCAGAAGGAGGGGGAGCAGGGGATGCACAAAAAACCCTCATGGCCAGGATGATTTCTGGGGGAAATTCCCAAATTTTCACAAGCAGGGCACACAATGCTCAGCTGCCAGACAGCTCCACCTGATCCTTGTCCACCTGAGCAGCAAACCCAGCCTGGGCTGCTCCGGGCTCACCTGGATCCCTGTCCCCATTTCTGCAGCAAACCCAGCCTGGGCTCCTCTGGGCTCACCTGGATCCCTGTCCCCATTTCTGCAGCAAACCCAGCCTGGGCTCCTCTGGGCTCACCTGGATCCCTGTCCCCACCTGAGCAGCAAACCCAGCCTGGGCTGCTCTGGGCTCACCTTGTCATCGATCACGGCCGAGAAGAAGGTCCCAAAGTCCTGGGTGGGCTGCGGGAGGCAGAAAGGGGGGGATGAGAGCACGCCCTGCACCCCAGAGATGCCTCAGGAGCAGGGGCAGGTGCACGTCCCCCCAAACCCTTGCCCGTGTCCCGGGAGCCGCGGCTCTCGGGCAGAGCCCTCCCTGCAGAGCCGCTACAAGTTAATTTCCAATCAGGGCCGGGAGCTGCGGGGCGGTGGGGGAGCGGGCGGGCATGAAAAGCTCGCTTCAATGGGAATTAGCAGCCGGTTCCCGCAGCCCCTAATCCCATCAGCCTCCCGCTGAGCCGCAAAGCCCTTCAGCAGCCCGGCAGCTCGGCTCACATCTCCCACTTTGATCTTCCCGTGCTCCTCCAGCAGCTTCTCTTTGATGTGGGGCCACAGCGAGGCGGGCGCGTAGAGCCGGGAGCAGGCGGAGCATTTCTGCCCGCCGAACTCGAAGGCCGAGCGCAGGGTCCCGTTCACGGCGCTGCCCACGTCCGCAGAGCTGTGCACCACGTGGAAGTTCTTCCCTCCGCACTCTGCGAACGGGAAAGGGCACGGCAGGAGCTGCCGAGGCGGGGCAGCTCCCACGAGGGGCCGGGGGCTCCCCCGCCCGGGGGGCTTACAGGGGAGCTGATGTCTATATATGTGTTTATATATAATTTTATATATATATAATGTTTATATATAATTTATATATATATAAAATATATAATGTTTATATATAATTATATATATAAATAAATAATGTTTATATATAATGATCTATATAAATATATAATGTTTATATATATAATAATCTATATAAATATATAAATATATATATACAAACATATATACACACGTATATATTTTATATATATAAAATTATGTTAATATGTAATGTAATAAATATATTAATATTAATTTATAATATAGAATATAGTTTATAATAGTTTATTATATAGTTTATAATATAGTTTATAATTTATAATATATAATATATATAAATATATTACTATATGATATAATATTGTTATATTATATATAAAATATATTTTATATTTTCCATGGATTTGTGATCCTGCAGTTCTTTAGTGCAGAACTCTGAGCTCCACACGCAGTGGCAGCTGCTGTTCTCCCGTTTTGGGCAGACACAGCAATTCCTCTCCAGGCCTGGCAATCAAGGACACCTCACTGCCTCAGGGCCCGAGAGATTAAACAAAAGGGAGCTGGGGGAGCAAACTTGGGGTAAATGACTTCATTACCTGAAGCTGTAATTGGAGGATTGACCCCCAATATGCAAATGGATCAAAGTTATATAAGTGTGAAAACCCATGACCTGCAGTTCATTTCTGGGTGCAGCACCTGGGGGGCTTTGTCTGCCTGAGATGTACCTGAAGGCCCTTCAGTAAATACAACCACTTTTTATTCCCTTACTTTGGCCTGGCCTCTATTTTTATGCAGCCCCATAAGGCATCGGTGCCCCAGGAATTCTGAAGAAAGCAGGATTTGGGGTGGGACTCACAGTGTAGAGCAGGAGCACGGACACGAACTGGACCAGGCTGTACAGGGCCATGTACTTGAAGACCCCGAAGGAGGTGACCAAGGAGCACCGGCCCTCCCTGGGGGGGGACACAGGGGGGACACAGTGTCACCGGGAGGGATCTGCGGCACTCCCGGGATTCCCCCGCACTCCCGGGATTCCCCCGCTCACCGGATGACCCTGGGCACGCACTCGATGGTGGCCACACGGGAGGTGAAGGGCGAGGCCACCGACGCCTCGGCCTCGGACAGGGAGATGCCGACGTCGGCCGCCCGCAGCGCCCCGCAGTCGTTGGCACCGTCCCCGCACATCCCCACGCAGTAGCTGCGGGAAAGGGAGCTCACATTCCTCAGGGAATGGGAAAGGGAGCTCACATTCCTCAGGGAATGGGAAAGGGAGATATATAATTTTATATATATATAATGTTTATATATAATTTATATATATATAAAATATATAATGTTTATATATAATTATATATATAAATAAATAATGTTTATATATAATGATCTATATAAATATATAATGTTTATATATATAATGATCTATATAAATATATAAAAATATATATACAAACATATATACACACGTATATATTTTATATATATAAAATTATGTTAATATATAATGTAATAAATATATTAATATTAATTTATAATATATAATATAGTTTATAATAGTTTATAATATAGTTTATAATTTATAATATATAATATATAGAAATATATTACTATATGATATAATATTGTTATATATAAAATATATTTTATATTTCCCATGGATTTGTGACCCTGCAGTTCTTTAGTGCAGAACTCTGAGCTCCACACGCAGTGGCAGCTGCTGTTCTCCCGTTTTGGGCAGACACAGCAATTCCTCTCCAGGCCTGGCAATCAAGGACACCTCACTGCCTCAGGGCCCAAACAAAGGGGAGTTGGGGGAGCAAACTTGGGGTAAATGACTTCATTAGCTGAAGCTGTAATTGGAGGATTGACCCCCAGTATGCAAATGGACCAAAGTTATAAAAGTGTGAAAACCCATGAGCTGTGCTCCATTTTTGGGTGCAGCCTCTGCCCGAGATGTACCTGAGGGCCCTTCAATAACTACACCTTTTTTTATTCCTGTAATTTTGTCTGGCTCTGGTTTTAGGCAGCCCCAAAAGGCATCAGGACCGGGAGAGCCGTGACCCCAGGATAAAACCCATGGAAAGGGACCAACCTCAGTTCCCAAACTTTGGGACCCCAACCAGCACCTCCCAGCCAAGCACCAGCTCCACCCTAAAACCCCACCCCCACAGCGCTGAGTATCCAGGGATCTCCTGCACCTCTGCCCTCAGGGATGGGAATGCTGCCCCTCTCCTCCCCAGGCAGAGGAGGAGCTGCCCCCTGAACCCCCAAAAAGGGCCGGGGGGGTCGGTACCTCCGGCCAGGCGCGGGAAGTTGCGGTAGCGCTCCAGGTTATCCGAGACCTGCTTCCAGAGCCTCCTGAAGGTCCTGGAACGGGAGGGAGGAGCTGCTCAAGGCTCTGCACACAGGGAGAGGGACAGGGGTGATGGCACCTGTGCAAAATCCCTAAAAAAGATGGGAAATCCCCCCAAAAAGGGATGCTCTGATGGGAAACCCTCCAAAAAGGGATGGGAAATCCCCCTAAAAGAGGGATGCCCTGATGGGAAATCCCCTAAAAAAAAAAGGATGCTCTCATGGGAAACCTTCCAAAAATAGAAAGGGAAATCACTCAAAAAGAGGGATGGGAAATCCCCCAAAAAGAGGGATGCCCTGATGGGAAATCCCCTAAAAAAAAAAGGATGCTCTCATGGGAAACCTTCCAAAAATAGGATGGGAAATCACTCAAAAAGAGGGATGGGAAATCCCCCAAAAAGAGGGATGCCCTGATGGGAAACCCTCCAAAAAAGGAATGCTCTGATGGGAAACTCCATAAAAAAGAAAGATGGGAACCCCCCCCACACCCCCCAAAAAAAGGGATGCCTTGATGGGAAATCACCCAAAAAAGAATGCCCTTAGGGGAAAGCCCCCCAAAAAAGGGACATCCTCATGGGAAACCTTTCAAAAAAAGGAATACCCTGTGAGAAAGCCCCCCCAAGAAAGGGATAGTCTGCACAGGGAAGTGGGACTGGGAGCACAGGTATTAAACAAAGGCCCCACAGCAGCTCCATGGCTTTAAAAATAAACTGTTGCAGGGAAAAGCATGGAGTGAGCATCCAGAAGTTTCTGTTCCTCCCCTTTCCCCCCTGCCCCTTCAGGCCTCGCTGTGACAAAGCCCTGGGCTGGAAAACAATAAAAATGGAAATGGCCTCGCAGCAGGAGGCTCAGCCACCAGCTCAAGCTGCGAGCTCCCCACCTGGGCAGCCCCTGCTCACCCGAGCGTGGCCTGGCCTGGGGAGGGGTCCCGGGGTCTGACAGCCCCTGCAGGGACCCCTCAGCACCTCTGACACCCCCTGGGACACAGCCAGAGCCCAGGGGGCAAAACAAACCCACCAGGGTGCAAACCCACCCAGGGGCACACCAAACCCACCTGGGGGGAAAATCAAACCCACCTGGGGGGCAAACCCACCCACAGCACCCCTGGGAGTGTCACTGCCACTCTGGCTGTTCCTGTGCCCCGAGCTCAGCCCCAGAGCTAAAACCACTGCCCCCCCAGCACCCAAACCCGGCTCAGCCCCTTTTTGTCACCACTTTTAACCCCCTATTTCGATGTCACCGTGCAACCACGTCCTGCCAGCTGCAGCAGCCCTTCCCAGCGCCCAGGAGCCCCCTGCCCCTCCCTGTGCCCCGTCCCAGCCCCTCCCTGCCCTCCCCTGTCCCCTGTCCCCAGCCTACGGCACGCTGCCGGTGAAGTTGAGGCCACAGAAGTGCTCGGAGCTGGTGACAGTGTCCCCAAACTCGGGGCCGTCGGAGGGCACGAACTGCACCACGTTGGGGGGCAGCCCCGCCTCCAGCAGGATCTTGTAGACGGCGTAGCTGGAGAGCAGGGCCGTGTCACTGGGCTTCCACAGCACCACGTTCCCCTGCGGGCACAGAACACCTCAGCAGCCAGTCGGAATTCCTGGAGAATTGTCCCACAGCGGTGGCAGCTCGCGGGGACACGCAGCCTTTATTTCTTTCCTGTGTTCCCTATTATTCCATATATTCTCCACACACATATGTGTAGCTCTGTTGTATTAGTGACTACACTTCCCAGTACTTTTCCATGGCCTTTCCTGAGGCAGAAGGACAAAAATTCCAGAGCTCCAAGCCCCAGGGGGAATGAGGCCCCAGTGCTGTCTCGGTTCTTCCTGGGAACCAAAGGTGAGAACAACTCTGGGATATTTCATGGACAGAGCACAGCCAGTGCTGAGGGGGCACTCCAGACCAGGGGGGACTGCATCACCACTTGTCCTCCCAGCTGGTGCTTTTTATCAGTTATGCTGATTTCGTAAAACCTGCAAAAATGTCCTCATCCCTGTAGGGGTGGGCTTTTGTGGACATCTTTCCATAACTGTCCCTGAAGGCTTCCAAATAAAGATCTGCTCTTGTATTGCCTCCTTACTAAAATTATCCCGAGTTTCACTTCCAGGTTGGGAAAAAGGCAGCACCACCTTCACCCAGCACTGCTTGGGCAGGACTGGTGTGCCCTGCTCAGCACAAATCCCCCCTTTTCTCTCACCAGCAGCTGTGCCAGCCTTGCCACCCTCCCTTCCAGGGCTGAGCTCTGCCTTCCCCAAGAGGAGCTGGCACCACGGCCCTGGTTCCTGCCTCAGGACACAGGAATGTGCTCCCAGTGTCACCAGCACTGCCACCAGCCCTGGGCAGGGCAGCAGGGCAGCGAAACCAAACCTCCAGCTGGATTAACCAGGCACAAACAGCACGAGGGACTGGAGAACTGCACTGGTGCCACCCTTGGCCCTGTGCCACCCCACCCTGGGCCCCACGGCTCCCTGTGACTGCCCCGTGTCCCTGTCACACGGCTCGGCCTCCCCTGCAGGGGTCACAGCCCTGGACAGGCAGTTCTGGACTCCTGTCTCCTGCTTTCCAGGGATTTGCTGTGCAGGGAAAGCTCCCCCTGGGCACAGCTCCTCCCTGGGCCCCTCCAATCCTCCGCTGCAAACACTGACAGAGCCCTGCAGAAAGCTGGGAATCCAGGCCAGGCTGGGCACAGCGTTCCCACAGCCTGGACTGCTCTGATCCCGAGGAAATCCCGTTCCCAGTTCCCAGGACAGACTGCATGCACCTCTCCAGTGTCTAACCCCCGTGGTGACAGAAACTCTGGGGCTCTAATTAACATTCCCCTGTTAAGCAGCAGTTTTTAATGGGGCTCTAATTAACATTCCCTACTAAGCAGTGTTTTCTCCTGACTTTAATTCCAGGTGCCCCCTGCTGCTGAGCTTTCCAAGGCTCCTGCTGATGTCCTGCTGCCTCCTGCTCCCAGCCCAGGGCAGGGATCCCATCCCCCTGCAGCATCCCGGGGGGAATTCACTCCACATCGAGCAGGGGAGCTGGGGCAGCCACGGGATGTCCCCAGCTGTCACTCAGAGCTGCCAGCAGGGGTTTGTCCCGTCCCAGCAGGGCTCACCCGCTCTGGGATGAGCTCAGCCCACATCCCACACCCAAGGGTGTCCCTCAGATCCTGGGGACCTCTCTCCCCACAAATCTTCCCAGCTCCATGGTGGCTTCCCCCTCTCCTTGTCCCCTCCACTCCTGCCCTAGTGACAGGTTCAAATGCTTCACTCAAATATGGCTTTAAATGTGACATTCCCAAATTAAAAGCTCCCCAGCCTCTCTGGGGCCAGCAGGAAATCTGAGCCTGATTAGCAAAGAGCTGAGGACAAATTGTTGGTTTTTCTTCTTTCTCAGTACAACAGCAAATTAATTATTCCTGGCCCAAATCCACCAGGTTATCATAGTCTCTCCCCAAAATCCACCCTGCAGAAGCAGGAACTCCTGTGCTCCATGGGCTGGGACACAAATGGGAATGTGCAGAAATGCTTTTTACCAATACTTTTTTCAAATGTTATTTTTTCAGACCTTCTGGGCTCTCCTGTCTGCCAGTTTGGTGCTAAATGGCAGAGCCATGGCCTGCCCTTGCCTTCCTTGGCCCTCACACACCCACTGCACCCAGACAGTGTCATCCCAGAGGAATTTGAGCAGCTACAAACTGGTTACACTTTCATGTCCCGACAGCACCCCGAGCCCAGGTAGGAAATCAAACCCTGCTGTGTTAATTCCCAGATCCCAAACCCAGCCTGGGAAGGAAAAGACACCTTGCTTCAGAACAAAAACCCCAGAAGGGCAGGTTTGGGCAGTTTGTGCTTTTCCAGCACTTCCCCCATCACACTGGAAATCCAGACACTGGGGTGTTTGATTAAAGCCTAAATGCTGATTGGGTCAAGGGGTCCAACAGGCCCTGGGTGAGTCTGTGGAACAGCCCCAGGGGGGCTCAGCTCCCTCCTCGCCCACCCCAGCCCAGCTGAACCTGAGGGCTGGCATCCCTCTCCCAACCTTTCCTGGGACTGTCCTGTCCCCTTGCCCTGTCCCATCTCCCTGTCCTGTCCTGTCTCCCTGTCCTGTCCCCTTGTCCCCATGCCCTGCCCCCCTGTCCCATCCCCGTGCCCCTGGGGGGATGCAGCCGTGGTGCAGGGGGGAATGCAGTGCTGGCTGTGGCTGCCCCTCCCGAGCTCAGTTCCCAAGGATGGGGCCTCCTGCATGGCCTCACGCTGATCCTGCTCCCAGGAGCAGCAAGGAGTGAGGATCAGCCTGGATCCCCTCACAGAGCACCTCCAGCCATTCCCACTGCCAAAAACCACCCAGGCAGCCCCTCCTGCCCTGCTCCTCCTGCTCAGCCAGCTTCTTCAGCACCCCTGTCTGAGGCTGGAAATGGGGGTGTGTATTCTATTGCAATCTGTTAGAGGTGGGGCAAAAACCCACAGAAAACTGCCCAGTTAACAGAAGAGAACTGCTCCACAGACAGGAACAGAACACACACCCCCCTTTCCAGCCTAAGACATAGGGATGAGCTGGGAGCGTTCCCAGCTCCCTCTCCCATCCCTGGGAGGTCTGAGGGATATTCGGGATATTCTGTTCTTTGGGCAGTTTTCTTTATCTCTGCTAAATTACATTGTTATTTAGTTTTTTTTTCTTCCTAGTAAAGAACTGTTATTCCCGTTCCCATATCTTTGCCTGAGAGCCTTTTAATTTCAAAATTACAATGACTCAGAGGGAGAGGGTTTACATTTTCCATTTCAGGGGAGGCTCCTGCCCTCCCCAGCACACACCTGCTGTTCAAAGACCCCTACCTGCCCGACCATGGTCTTGGCCAGCACTTCAGCTCGCCGCGGGCCGCTCAGCATGTCAGCTGCCTTCAGGAAGATCTGGGCCCGGTCCTGCACAGGCTTCAGGTCCCATTCCTTCCTGGCTGCCAGGGCAGCGTTAATGGCCTTGTTAATGAGCTCCTGTGGAGGCAAAGGGGGAAAGGCAGCAAGGAGGAGCCTCTCCAGGTTCCTCCCCACCACCAGGTCGCCAGGAAAAGTGAGGGTCACCCACCCCAGGCACAGACCACTGGTGCCATCACAACCCCGAGTCTGCAGCTCCTGGTGGGTTTGTTCCAGGATCCCTGGGGCTTGGAAAGGCTCCTGGAGCCTCCCTGCTCACAAAATTCATTCCACTTGCTAAACCAAGGCCAAGTGCTGCTGCTTCCCCAAAAAAAAACCAGCCAGGAAGAGGGGGGACAGAGAGGTGCACTCACCTTGTTGGCATAGCAGTACTTGGCCACCTTGTGAGCATGGTTAAAGGGCTGGGAAGAGAAGAAGAGGCTCTGTAGGAACCAGCCCCAGGACCCTCCTGCAGGGACCCCCCTCATTAAATGAGAACCCCCAGACTCACCGAGAGCTGGTACCTCACCGTGGGGGTCCACACCTCCTCCCCCCCGATGACACACGGGATCTCCTCGGTCTTGCCCTTCAGGTCAGCGAGGGCCTGGCAGAGAGGAGAACGTGGTGGGAGCAGCTCCCACCCGCTCCAGCTGCCCTCCATCCCCCTTCCCACGGGCAGAGGGAACTGGGAACAGGCTCCGGGCATGGGCTGCCCACAGGAGGCACGGCTGTGCCCACAGGGAAGGAGCAGGAGCTGGGCAGGATGGGGTTGTCACACCAGGGAGAGCCCGGGGCTGCCCTGCAGCACCTGCAGCACAGCCCAGGGCCCTCCCAGCCCCAGAAACCCCCAAATCCTGGCACTGGTACCTTCTGGAGCGCCGCTCGCTCGGGGCTCCCCGGCTTGAACTCCAGGATGGGCTCGTTGGTCACCTGGATGGCCGCGCGGTGCTGCCATCTCCGCCTGCGGCAGGGGCGGGACAGGAACGCTGGAATTCTGCCGTTCCCTCCTTCCCCAGCACCGGAGGACAGCTCAGCCCCGGGACACCTCGGTGCCAGGGGACACCTCGGTCTCTGGGGATGCCTCCATCCTGGGGACACCTCGGTCCCAGGAACATCTCGATCCCAGGGAACACTTCAGTGCTGGGGACACTCAGTGCCGGGGGACACCTCGATCCCTGGGGACACCTCAGTGCCGGGGGACACTTCGGTCCCGGGCTGCCCCCCACAACCAGCCCCTGCTCCATCCCTCCTGGATGGGGATGCCAGAGCCGGGATCCGAGCCAGGCTCTCGCCCCCAGCCCACCAGCCCTTCTCTCGCTCAGCAAAAAGCGCTGGGACAGGCATTTTTAAGGAAGGAGGCACAGGATCGATTTTTAGGAAGGAGGCACAGGATCGATTTTTAGGAAGGAGGCACAGGATCGATTTTTAGGAAGGAGGCACAGGATCGATTTTTAGGAAGGAGGCACAGGATCGATTTTTAAGGAAGGAGGCACAGGATGAATTTTTAAGGAACGAGGCACAGGATCGATTTTTAGGAACGATCGACCCGGGCTGCTCCAACATCCCGGCTCCTGGCAAAGTCCAGCGGGCAGAGGCCGGGCGGGCACTGAACCGCCCCGGGGTCAGCCGGAGCTGGCAGTGCCCAGCCCCACGAGAGGGTTACACTGTGCAGCTCAGCGATCGTGCCCGAAAAACGGGAAATGGGAGAAAAAGGAGGGGAAAACGAGCGGAGAAGGGGGAAAACGAGAGGGAAAAGGGGGAAATGAAGGGAAAAGGGGGGAAATGAAGGGAAAAGGGGGGAAAAATTAAGGGAAAAGGGGGGAAAATGAAGGGAAAAGGGGGAGAAAAAAAGAGAAAAGAAGACAAGGGAGAAAGGGAGGAAAGCAAGGGGGTAAAGGAGGAAATCCAGGAGAAAGCAGCGGAAAACAGGTAAAAACAAGGGGTAAACTGTGGAAAACGGGTAAAGACGGGTGGGAAAGGAGAAAACAAAGGGGAAAAGCGAGGGAAACAAGTGCAGGAAAAGGAGGAAAGAGGGGAGAACAAGCGGAGCTGAGGGCTGGCAGTGCCTGGGCTGGCAGCGGGACGGTTCCCGGCGATGGCAGGAGCGGCAGCGAGCGGAGCCCGAGTCCGCCCCACGCGTGGGGACGGTGCGGGAAGAAGGGAAGGGAAGGGAAGGGAAGGGAAGGGAAGGGAAGGGAAGGAGCCCGCGCTCACCCGCAGTCCCTCAGCGCCCGCAGCCGCCGCCACATCCCGGCCCCGCCGCGCTCCCGTCCCGCGGCCGCCACCACCCACCGCGCGGGGGGGAGGCGGGGCGGGGAGGAGACACAACCATCGATTAATTAATAAATTAATGAACCACCGGGGGCGGCGGTCCGGAGAAGCGGCCCCGCGCCCGTCGCGCGCTGTGTGTGAGGGTGCGGGCCGTGTCCCCCCCCGCCCGCGGGGTGCCCGTGGGGTGTGCCCAGCGGCGCGTTCCCCCCCCCC